GCCCAACTGATTAGTTACCTTGGCTCCCAGCTCGGTGATGTCCTTGTCGGCCAGTACGCCCACCAGAGAATTGCAGATTTCATCGGTCTGGGCCTTGAGGCTGGGGGCGAGCGCCGGAAGGATGATGCCCTTGAACATGTGGTCGTATTTGTACATCGCGTTCTCCTTTTCCTGAGGTCGAGAGCGTTAGTGGCAAGCCCACACCCAAACAATGAATTGGTGGTGGTGGTGGTGGTGGTGGTGGTGGTGGTGTACCTTTTGGGCCTGCAGCTGAGCCATCTTGGCCTCCTTCTCCTTTTTCTCTTTCTCCTGTTGCGCCTTTTTCAGCTCCTTTTCCTCCTTTTCCTTCTCCTCCTTGGCCTTCTTTTCCGCCACTGCCTCCTCCTTCAGGTCCTTGGGTCCCTCCAGCCCCAGCTTGGCTGCCGTGACCAAAAGATAAATTAGACATTAATAACAAATAATATAACCGATAAATAGAGGAGAAATAGAAAGAACCGCACCCATTTCCTCCTTGGCGTTGACGATGAGCTCCAGCCAGTCCTCCTTTTCGTGCCGCGACTTGAACTTGATGTGTATCTTGTCCTTGCTCTTGTGGTCCACCAACAGGAGCATGAGCTCCGCCTCGGGATCGTCCACGATCTCGCCCTCACTCTCCAAGTTGATCGCCGCAGCCTCGCCACTCCCATTATCATTATCCTCGCCCTGAGCGCATGCACATCGTAAGGGCCAAACGCGTTTCGACACACACCACACACGCACGCGACGCACACGCACACGTGCACGCACAAGTCGCACAAGAGCGAAGTGGTGAGTACGTTTGTGTTCGAATCGCCGTTTTGGCTTCCCTCCATGGTGAGGTCGGGCGACGATGATCGCTGGGGCTCGTTCACGCCCACGCTCTTGAGAGACATGCTTCGAGTCGGCAGCGGGTGAGTGCCCGACCCCGACACCACGCCGACAGGGGCGAGCAGCGCCGACGAACTCGAACCGAGCGTCGTGTTCACTGCTCATGGCACAACAAACACGATAGCAATAGCAGTGTTGATTAAAAAAAGCAGCCACCAGAGAACCACGCATCGTCCAACAAACACGAAAACGGAAAAAAAGAGACGAACACGTACTTGTGGGAGTTCCCTGCTGGACCAGAAGAACGTTGATGTGGAGCAGGTTGTACATCACCCTAAAGATGTACTTGTCGCTCTGTGTTGTGGTGTGTGTGGTGTGTGTGGTGTGTGTGGTATGTGTGGTATGTGAGGTGTGTGGTGTGTCAACCAAAATGAAATGTACGGTTGTGCGCCAGCGAGAAGAGAAAAGAAGAGAAGGCGGCAAGTACCTTGGATTTCTTGACCACCTGGAGCAGGAAGTCATCGAAGAGGAAGAAGTACTGTGATTTAAAGTCGGCCTTCCTGGGGGTCATGAACGAATCCTTGTCGAGGCCCACCACCGTGCTGCGTCGCTCCGACGACAAGTTCTTTTCTGACTTCCGCGCCGGAAGCGGCAGATTGAGGTCGAGATTGAGCCGCGAGCTCTCGCTTGGTCGCTCCACCTACACGTTACGGCACACAACACGCAAATAGATCGAGGCGTCAATCAATCATTTCCATAGCGACACCAACGCTTGATCGACTGAACGTGTGTGTTGTGTGTGTTGTGTTGTGTGTTGTGTGTTGTGTGTTTGTGCGGTACGTACCTTGCGAATGATCACTTCTCCCTCACGCAGCAGTCGCCGATCGGGTCGACTGAAAATATCCACTCGGTGCTTGACGGCGGCCTTGAGCTTGTAGAGCCGCGCTCGCAGGATGGAGGCGCCCTTCTCCGAGTTCACGTGCTTGTTGACCTCCGCCACCGTGTTGAACACCTGCTCGATCTTGGCGTGCTCGCTGGCGTCCGCCGTGTTCCTCAGGATGTCGCGAAGCAGCAGCTCGTAGCGCGGTAGCCGTTGGATTGGCTGCAAAAAGAGAATGACGCTCCAGACCCGAGGAAGAAGAAGGAAGAGAAGAAGAAGAAGGAAGAGGGAGTACATGCCATAATGAGGAAGGACACGAGATCCAGTTTCTTGCACTCCGGCCGCGCTTTGCAGTCGTTGAGGAACTGGGTGAACTTCTTGCTCGAGTTCTGGAGGTCCGTAATTCGTTTGTTGGCATTATCAAAACTGAGGATGTCGACGCGTCCCACGTGTTAGCAACTGCTCTGCCGCGTGTCGTGCCGTGTCGTGCCGTGCCGTGCCGTGTGCGTGTGCGTGTCGTTGGTCGTGTCGTGTCGTTGGTCGTGTCGTTGGTCGTGTCGTTGGTCGTGTCGTTGGTCGTGTCGTTGGTCGTGTCGTTGGTCGTGTCGTTGGTCGTGTCGTTGGTCGTGTCGTTGGTCGTGTCGTTGGTCGTGTCGTTGGTCGTGTCGTTGGTCGTGTCGTTGGTCGTGTCGTTGGTCGTGTCGTGTCGTGTCGTGTCGTGTCGTTGGTCGTGTCAGGCGTGGACGAGGGTACCTGTTGATGTAGACTGTGTACATCTTGAAGAAAGGAATGAAAGCGCGGAGAAGGTCGCCCAGCGACTTCTGCGTCTTGCTATCTGACTTGGTGGCTGTGGCAGAAAAGAAGTGGAGAAAGAACGAAACGTCTCAGCGCAAGCCGGCAGAGTCGATTCACACGACCGCGCTTTTGGGGCCACGCACCCGAATCGTAAAACGAAGGCCTCTTGTCCAACTTGGGCTGTGTAGAATCGTCCGGTTGCGGCGCAGTGGCAGGCTGTATGATAAGCACGGAAGAAAGTGAGTGTGTGCGGTGTGTGTGGTGTGTGGTGTGTGCGGTGTGCGTACCGCTTCGGTCTCGGGGCAGAAGAGGGGCTTGAGGTCGAGGTAGAGCCGTTGATGAATCTGGTGGATGGTCTCGATGTTGGAGAATATGGTGT